TATATATATATATTATTCCTTAACTAGTGATGAAGATTAGTTAACATTTAAAAAATATGTATACTGTACAGATAATGTTAACTGGTGAAATTACCAGAGATTGCAGACGACATTCTTAGACCACAAATTTTTCAGCTAGACCCCACTGTTTGAGTAGTGAGGAAGAAAATATAATTTGGTAGCTCAATTTTGGAGTAAATCCGGATATTAGCACGTGTTTGAACCAATGAGATAATTCATTTGAATATATTGGCGATGTTCAGCCTCGAAAATTTCTTAAACAAAACATTCGGAAAATTATAACTCCAAAGTTCAAACTCGATCTTTGTGTATATATTCTCATTTCTCACCAACAATTACTCCAAAATTCAGCAATCATTTTTCCTTGTTTGCTCCATCCACCAGAGAAACGCCCACTTTTAGCTTTCAGCTCATTAACAAAGTGGTGCTAGGCCACTAGCTATGGCATCTTCCAAGCTGCATGGTGGAGAAAATGTTGCAAGTATTTGGAGAAACACCAAAGGTTTCACCCTCCAAGTCCTTACAGGACGTTGGTTCATGGCATTCTCCTCGTTCATAATCATGTCAGTATCGGGAGCAAGCTACATGTTTAGTCTATACTCAAGGGAAATCAAGTCAGTTTTGGGGTATGACCAATCCACCCTCAATCTCTTAAGCTTCTTCAAGGACTTGGGCTCTAACGTAGGCATTATTTCAGGCCTAATCAATGAGGTCACACCCCCTTGGGTCGTCTTAACACTTGGTGGGGTTCTCAACTTTTTTGGCTATTTCATGATTTGGCTTGCAGTGACCACAAAAATTGCCAAGCCCCAAGTGTGGAACATGTGCTTGTACATCTTCATTGGAGCCAATTCTCATTGCTCCACCAACACTGGAATCATTGTCACCAGTGTAAAGAACTTCCCTGGCACCAGGGGCATTGTACTTGGCATTTTGGGTGGGTATCTTGGTTTGAGTGCAGCTATCATCACTCAGATATACTATGCCTTCTATGGAAATGATTCCAAGTCTCTAATTTTTCTTATGGCATGGCTACCAACTGCTGTAAGTTTTCTTATTTTACCAGTTATCAGGCACCACAAGGGAGTTGTACAGCCAAATGATTCCAAGGCTTTCTATAATTTCCTCTATACCACTTTAGTCCTTGCAGGTTTCCTCTTGGTAGTGATCATATTGCAAAAAACTTTCACTTTTACAAAGAGTGAGTATTATGTCACTAGCACTCTAATGCTTCTCTTGCTCATCCTGCCACTTGCTGTTGTTTTGGTTGAAGAACAAAAGGTATGGAAGAGGAAACAAGAAAACATCAATACTGAAAACCCTCCTAAGCCTTTGAATATAACAACAGAAAAGCCAAATCTTGAGAAGCCTGCAAAGGCTACACCAAAGCAAGTTTCCTGTTGGAAAAACATGTTGAGGCCACCAAGTAGAGGTGATGATTATACAATACTTCAAGCCCTTTTTAGCCTTGACATGGTGATTCTTTTCGTAGCCACAATTTGTGGACTTGGTGGTAGCTTGACTGTGGTAAATAACTTAAGTCAGATTGGTATATCCTTAGGATACTCAGGGCATAGTATAAACACATTTGTGTCCCTTATGGCCATTTGGATCTATACGGGTAAAATTCTACAGGGAGTGGTCTCAGAAATTATCATAACCAAATTTAAAGTCCCTAGGCCTCTCATACTCACATTAATCCTTGTGTTACCGTGTGTTGGTTACCTTCTAATTGCTTTCAATGTCCCAAATGGTCTTTATGTAGCCTCAATTATTATTGGGTTATGCTTCGGGGCAACCTGGACTGTACTATTTTCCATTATATCTGAACTTTTTGGTCTTAAATTTTACTCAACTTTGTATAATGTTGGGTCAGTGGCAAGTCCAATTGGGTCATATTTGTTCAGTGTAAGGGTTGCAGGGCATTTGTATGACAAGGAAGCTACAAGGCAAATGAAAGCATTAGGACTAACGAGGAAGGCTGGGGAGGAGTTGAATTGCAATGGGAGTGAGTGTTACAAAATGGCTTTCTTTATAATCACTGCAGTTAGCCTCTTTGGGGCACTTGTGTCTCTCATCTTGGTGCTAAGGACTAGAGAGTTTTATAAAAGTGACATATACGAGAAGTTCAGAGAGGAAGCTAGAGCTACTGAAGCTGAAATTAGTCTCACTGAGAACAAGATTTGACAACCAGTTGCTAATGAAGGCTAGATATCTTTGGCAAGGACTTGTTTGTAAATACTCTATGTTTGGCATAGTAGCAAAAAGTAAACTTTCTTATCAAGTTAGATTATGATAGATAAAAAAAAAAAACTGCAATAAATTCCCATTAGATTGTAGAATATATAATGGAATTTCGTGTGATATGTTATGTTGTTTTCTTTTCAATAAAATCATCAAATTTAGAAGGTTTAAATATATTTTAAGTCTCTCAAATTTAAAATTAATTTTTTAATTTTTATAATTTTTAAAAATTTTCAAGTTATTAATAATGTAACGATGACATTACACTTAACGGTTCAACAGCTAATAGTGGAAGAATATAGAACTATAATCAACTAGGATTAATATACTAGTAATACCTGGATATACAAATTATAATATATAAGTGTACAATTAAAAGTTTATCAACTATCAAAGCATATACAATATATACATATCTAATTTGGTACCAAAGTATGAAAGGAATGTTAGTTGTTGGTTGAGCAAGACTACTAACAACCAACCACATTATGGTAGCTCAAAGGATCGACGCCTTCACTGTCCAACATGGCCTCAAGAAAAGCTCCAATAATAACTTATTTCTACTCTACTTTCATATCAAGTATGATCATCGTATTCCAATCCCATGAAAACATGCAAGGGTAAATTAGTATTTAGAGAATCAACAAAATCAACATGTTCTTCAACTTGAACAACACAACAACACCTCAATGCAACTCATCATAATTCAACATGACATACGAACAACATAACTCAATCAACTTATCATATGCACAACACAACAACTATATGTGTCGTCATGTATTTCAATTAAGAGATCTTCTATGACACAAGTGAGTAATTTAATTGGCTTGACCTTACCAAACCAACAACCTGATCTTTTTAATTTAGCTAGATCAACAGCCAATGGGGTTACCAATCCCTAACAACATGATTTCTCAAATGTCACCACTTAAACTAAGAAGTCTAGTATCCATGCAAGGATAGAACAACTTAGGTGTGAGTCTACCATGACATTAGCTAACACAATTAAGCCATATATGTGATTAGCCTGCTGAAATACCCTCCAAACACTACACCCTTCTGGTGCTTAGTTAGGGCTTTTAACCCCCGACGACCTTATATTTTACTCTTATTCGGTTGTTTTATATATGTATGCCTCGACCTTGCTCACATAAAGATCAATATTGATCGCTTATAGTCAATATGCCTTGACCTGACCCACATATCGCATCAACTAAGGTTCTAGAGGAACCTCAACTATCCACTTCAAGGGTCAGCTTCTGAAGAAGGGTTTTCTAACAAATTGGGCTCTTGGAGCACCCACCGCAACACAATATCCTCAAAATAGGATATGTAACTTTAAAAACAATGTCTCATCTAGTCTTAGGTCAATCAACATAGTACAAATTTAATGTCAAAGCATTCTCAACACAGCTACTCAACTAAATAACATGCAACTCAACTCAACTTTCAACCATTTTACCAGTTAAACACTATCTTATATCAATGTATAGAGATTCAACATCATGCATCAATATACAATACATAACACAACTTAATCATCATACAATATGTAACAAATCCAACTATCTTATACATGTTCAGCAATTTCATCATAAAACAAGTTAAATTAAGGCAACTCGTGCCCAATGCTATCCACCTTGAGCCCTATTTCATCTATGCCCAATGTCATACAACCCATGCTCAACATGAATTAGGGAGAGACCTCTAGGCCTTCACGCCTAGTGTGGTAAATTCCTATGCCCAACCTCATTTTAGGTAGAAAGTCTCTACCTAACTCACACTCAATGTCACCATACTAGCATTTGACGTCATCTATGAAATGAGTTTTGTCTTGGCCATGCTAGGCGCTACTTAATGGCTCGACATCACCAAGTCAAAAATGTTTCTCTCTCTTTATGCCTGATGATGTTCAAACCACACCCAATATGATCAAGTCAAAGACTTCTCCTTAACCCACGCTTAACGCTACCAATCTCACATTTGAAGTGAGTGAGGCAGAGATCTTCTAACGTGAGTCACGCTCGGCACCGTGAAGGTACGCCCAACACAATAGTGAAATCTATACTTACCAAAATCAAAATTTTGTTCAATCCACCTGAAACTCAAAAGACTTCCAACATGCAATAAAAAAAACATATCTACACATTAAATAGTTCATATCCATCTTCAAAATCAACATGCAACACGCATCATGATCAATAACATCAATTTTTCACCTCTATTCAATTCATGAACAACAAACCCTCTAGACTTAACTTTAGAGAAAAAGAAGAAGAAAATGAAGCTCTCTAAAGACTCTGCACAACATTGTGTTTACTCTGATTTCCAAAATCAGAACAACCCATTTTGAATCTGACTATTTTGTGTTAATTTTGTAACTGGAACGACCCGTTCCTAAAACCAGAGCGGCCCGTTTCAGAGGTGAGTTTAACACATAACTGCCTATGTTGGAACGGCCAGTTCCAAACTAAGGTTTTTAGGCCTTTTTTTGTAACTTGGAATGGCCCGTTCCAATTTAGGAATGGCTCGTTCTAAGCTTAGGTTTTAGCCCTTTTTAGGAGCTTGGAACGGCCCGTTCCAGTTTGGGAAAAACTCGTTCCAAACTAGGGTTTTAGGCCCTTTTTGTAACTTGGAACAGCCCGTTCCGATTTTAGAACAGCCCGTTCCGAGCTACTAAAACCAACTTATTTGGGCTTTAGGCTTTCTGATGTCATGTCCTATTGCTTCCATGCTTCGGGAGTTCTTTTCCTTGATAATAGACGTTCATTTCATTGCTTTTGTGGGTCTAAACGAAATTGGGTGTCTACATGAGGTGTACTTCTTAAAGAAGGCCTTATATACCCTTTGTTATTGGTAAACTTGACCTCTATTAAGAACAATCACTTAACAATTGAAACTTAGAAAAACTCCTTAATTCCCCATAGCTTCTCAACATAAAAATAACAAATCATTACAAAATCAGTGATACTCAATAAAGCTATATAGTGTTACAAATAACATATTTAAAGTAACAAATCGAGACAATTATGCAACATTGGTTAGGTTTAATGTAATGGTTTTACTAGTACCAACACTAGTAGGTAGGGATGACAAATAAATCTGTACCCGTGAATAATACTCAAACTCGTACCAACTTTGACAAGGAATATCTGGTTTGACTAAGTATGGGTACGGTTAAAACTCGATATCTTAAATCAAGTACAGGTACTAGTACGAGTATATACTTACCCGTTCCGTCTCCGTCCTTGTCCCTGGTTTAATACTTTCCCTTGATTTGATTGTTTTAAAGAATTTTAATATTTAATTATGTCTAATTGTTTATTATGATGTGAAACATTTTTAGTTGTTTAATTATTAAGAAGTCTCTTGATTAAAATATGAGATAGACAAACAACCTAATTATAATTTTAATATAATGGAAAAATAAGCTAAAAATATTGTGTATCTTTTTTTGTAAAAAAATTAATTAACTTTTCACGGATACAGGTATAGGTACGAGTATACCCAATACCCGACGAGGACGGGAATGAGATGAAAATTTCATACTCAATAAGTATGGGTACGAGAATGAGGATGAGTTTGAACAGTGAGGACGGGTATCATGAAACCCGTACCCGACCCGCTCGTTGACATCCCTACTAATAGATAAGTTTTATGCGATAATATTTAATATGTTTTTTTTTAACTATAAAGACTTAAATTTAAAGATGAAAAAGATCAATTTTAAATTTAAAGAATTAAACATAAATTTATCTTAAAAATTTAAAACATATTTATTAAATTATTATATAATATATATCAGTTTAATAAAAACTTAATTTCCTTTCCCATTATCGTCGTTATATTCATTAAAGAAATACTTAAACATAACGTGACAAAATATTACGGAATTTCATCTGAATTTATTAATTAATGTCTCGTATGCATAATCTAAAAATCACGCAGAGATAATGCTACTGCAGTGCATTATTCAAAAATACGAAATGACAATGATAAACAGAATTCATGCCATATAATGCATTGATTTGTAAAAGTATATAATTTTTTATTCTCACAATGTCAATCATGGAAAGTTTGTACTAATAATTGTTCGTGGTGTTAGATCTGGCATATTAAAATAGAAAAATAATAAAATAAAGAAGTGAAGAAAAGACAAAAATATAAATTATATTAAATATATATATATATATATATATATAAATGAAATAAAAATTTATAAACAATATATATATATAATGAAATAAAAATTTATAAAATATTAAAATAAAAAAAAAGTTTAAAATATGAATACATGTCTTTTTCTTTTTTCTTTTTTTAATGTCCCTTACACACCTTTCCTTTCTAGTGATAAGCAATGAGACGTTCCTTCCCTAATGTCCTATTGCGTTGACCGTGTTCTCCCATTTAAATTTTTTTTTTTTTTTTATCTTTCTCTTCACATCATTAAGGATCACTAGAACCCTATATCTTCTTCGTTTGCTCTCTCTTTCATATAAAAAAAATTAAAGAGATAAACTTAAATCTAATTTTAGTCCTATAATCCTATAAATATACAATTTTGATATGCTAATTTTTTAATATAAATTTTATCCTTTTATTTTATAAATAAAGCAATGATGATTCACCATTAACATCTCATGTAAAAATAAATAAAAAAATTTTAAAAAAAATTTAATGATTGTCTGTGAGTGATAGTTGAAGTAATTAGTTAGTTACATTAAAAAATAGTAGTATTAAAAGTTTTAAATAATTTTTCATAGATTATAAATTTTAATTTACATAAGAAAAAACATAATATATATATATATATATATATATTTATTAAAAAGCAATATTGTTCTTTACATGAAAGAAAATGTGGTACTCACAAACTGTGTAGCACAGATTTAAACACGACGTAACATGGACACGAGAATATGATAAAATAAAAATATAGGACACATGGACATGATACATACATACACACACACACACACATATATATATATATATATATATATATATAATATAATATAATATAATATAATATAATATATGTAATCTGACAAAATAATTATATATTAATATAACAATAACTTACTAATCTCAAAACTAAATTATTAAGAGGCATGAGTCTACAACAAATTTTTTTTTTTTAAATCTTGAATCCTCTCTTCCTTGGTTTTATT